CCATTCCATTCTACTATCATAACCATAAATTCCTGGTAAAATGCTAATCCACATTGACCTTTCTCTGTATTTGCTTTCCAAATTGATAGTACATTATCCATTTTGATAGGAATAATACTTTGGAAATCTCTATGACTGCATCCTTTTAACTTATACATCCAGAATCAAAGTGGAAGGAAAAGTCAGTTTCCCAGAATAATTCAAGGTTCCTGCACTACCCTGGATTCAGCTGCACTTCAGGAGTCACTGAAGCACAGAGAGAAAATGAAGCCACTCTCCAACACTCGGATTTTTGAGCCATTTTTAAATGTGAGACATTGGGATGGTTTTAGCTCATACACTTTCTCCAAATTCTGACATTCATGATGTCATCACTATCCAACCTAAATTCTCCTCAGCAGAAAATTTAATACTATTTCCTTTTCTTCCTCCAGCAAGAGAAGTACGTTACAACACTTAAATAACTAAGGAAAATATCTATTCATGGACCTAACCAATGGAATTTATATCTTTTTATGTCAGGAATGTATAGTCTAGGGCTGGCTTTCTGAAAGTTCGACATGACATATTCTATATCACTCATGCTACAGAAAGTGCAATTTTATTTTCAAATTTTCCAATATTTTAGCAAGGTTAAGGGACAGCCTCATACCCTCTGTATCTATTACACAAGTCATACCAAACTACTTCTTATATCATATGCTACACTAATTTAATCACATGCTAATTAATCCATATCTATATAAGACATGAACTACACTGATAGGAATTCTGTAATACTAATTCTTACATTTATACACAGCTATAATTGGTGTAGACAACACTGATCTACTATCTAACTCTCTGTAGTGCAGCATGCAGAAGGAGGAGATCATGATATTCCTTGACAAAGAGTGTCCATTAAGCACTTCTACACTTTCAGCAACATTCTCAGAACTGGAATGTCATGTGGAACTCACTAGTAATAAGGATGTCCCTACTCTGGGTCTCTGTTTCTCTCTATGGAGATGATAGATAGATAGATAGATAGATAGATAGATAGATAGATA